GCTTAACTATTGTATATTGTCCGCAAATGTAAAAAAATACATTTGAATTGTTTTTACAACTCCTAGAAGCCATAGTTAAAGATAAATGGAACACAATCTTTTATTACACGTTAATATTATATCTCTAACATACAAAAAAATGTGACGTGATACGTTAAAACAAATTTTATATTTGCAAAATATAGACCAACAATTACATGCTTAAGATAAATTTATACAAAAAACTTTTTTATCGCAGACCTGTGTTATCTTTCGTGCAATTCTTGTTGAAATGTAGACTTCCGTATTGTTAACTCTAATCCAAATTGTGTTGGTCAAGTCCGTTTGTCTCTAAAAGCAATGCCCTATTGTTCTTAGCGTCAACCAGGAAGAGAGGAGGGTTATTTCGACAATTCTATTATTCTAACAACTTCACCGAGAATTGCTCAGGAAGGGCGAAATAGGATGTGATTAAACGTATCACAAGCTGCTGAACCATCTCGTTAAAGTGATTACTACACCACCGCCAGTTGGTGTTTCGTGAGATACGTTTTGATATGTTTCAGTCATATTGTTCTGCTCTGAAACAATTTTGGTCATTTTATAACGGAAGGTTTATGTTTAGAGATTCCCAGAAGCAAACAGAAATTTTGGGGTTCGATAAAAACACACAGACACGAGAAATATAGCCAAAAAGACGTCGCTTTTTTATGGTACTAATAATAGTAACAGTCTGAAATTGGAATATAAATTATTATTATAGCGGCTCATCTTTATCCCATTTTAAATCGTAGACTGTGCTGTATATTTTTATTACAAATATTGTTTTCACCGAGGTTTTCACGGTTAATATTCGTTTCATTCAGGGTTATTTAATTAACTATGGGAACTGAGTAATTTTTTATTTCTGTCTCTTAAAATTATTTGCTACAACTGTTTATCCCTGGTTAGTAATAGTTAATGTTTTCGTAATTGTGGAAGTTTTTATAAGGTTTTAAACTAGCTCTACTAATACAGGGTGTAACAAAAATAAGTGCCGAGCTTTGGAGGATGTAAACTAGATACAATAAGCAATCGTACGGTGAGTTCAGCATAATGTTTAAGGTCAAAAACAATTTTTAAAAAAAATAAAATAATTTACAATCCGAAGGCGGTCCTGTGCGTGAATTGGCTACATGGGTGTCTACCGAATAGCGTAATGCGATAAAAGCTGTGCAGCTACATGGATGGAGAATGTAATCATTACCGAGAATCGGACATTCAAGATACTAGAGATTAGCTGTTAACATAAACAAATATAATCTAACAAATTAGCAATACATGAGCAAGAAAATATATAACAAATTTTACACTGATTTTGGTAATCACTAGTGCATCGTTGCTAGCCGAATTTTTTTACCAGGGCCGGAATTGAATTTACCTGGACTTTTAGACATACAAAAATTTACTTAATTTTCATGTCTCTACGCTCTATCATTTTCTGCATGCTCAGCACTTGTTTCTGTTACACTCGAAGGTAACTTTCACGGTAGCAAACCATCAGAAACTAAGAACCATTAACTAAAGGTTTTAATCGAGTCTGAACCGCTAAAATCGCACAAAAAAATCAAGACATGGCGGGTCAAGACCCACCATTCAGCTGGAGTTTATCATTTAAAACAAATTTTTCAAAAAATCAGTGCGTAGTAAAAGAAAAGAAGAATTGTCAGTATATATTTATACAGCACCTATCACTTGGAGAGCTTGTTCTTCTTTCTAACTTATTTTAACTTTGGGATAGCTAAGCGAGTTAAGGTTCGATTAACGCCTTCAATTGGTGATTACCAATTTTTGGTATTGTTTGAAAATTCTAAATAGGATACCTTCATCTTTATTTCGTCCTGTTGAATGAAATATTCCAAAGGTTTGTTCGATAAAGACTTCACACATACAGGAGAAGCAGTGGCGTATATCAACGTGGCAAAACAATTCGAACACGGTAAGTGGGTGACGAATTTTGAATAATTTATTGCACTTTTATATTCTACCCTGCATTCTGATGCAGTTCATTCAGTCTTTTATCCAATTCGCCAGGGCAAAGTACAAACCATACGTGTGGAACGATTCATTGCCGGGATTCTTTATCGGAAACAGAATGGCTTAAATGTTGCGTAATTTATGTGGTTTCTCTTATGTGGTCGAAACTGACCGCAAGAATTCATTGAAACCTGGACCTCCCCCAAGAAGCGTCTGAATCAAAGAATTACCTACTTTCTTTAAGATTCAATACTGGAAGATTTATGTAGTCTACTATTTTATGTCGTCACACATACTAGATATGTATATGTGTATGTATACAACAAAACTAACATTTTTCTAACTATAAGCTTCATCTTAGCCTGTTGGGTAAACTTATAGATAACTTATGTAACACGTAAAGTCGAAAAAGCTTTTATAAGTTTTAGTTTAAGTCTATTTAGAAGCCCCGACATTTATATAAGTCCAGATAAAATTACATAAGTACTTAGAACGTTTATATACTTATTAATAAGCAAAATATGTGCTCGATTAATGTTATTTGTTTATTATTTCAATATAGGAAAGACAAGGATACTGAATTACCCATATTGTCCACAAAGCTAAAGTTTTTATTTGTTACTGGGTTTTTCCTGAAATTCCGAATCATATCTATAAAATTATTTCTTTATTGAAAAGTTTTTACTTACTTCAAAAAATAGTTTGCGAATATGACTGTTATATAAATATGTATGTGTACGTGTAATAATACCCTATGATCTAAAATAAATTTAAAAAATGAGAAAGTAGAGAAAAAAGGTTTTGAAACACGGATTAACATTAGAGAATTTTTCTTACTTTATTAAACATTAATCTTTAGATTAACACTTAGTAGAACTTGCGGACTCGTTCGGCTTAAATTTTTTAATCTAAAGTGTAGCTATAGTTTTTTCAAAATGTAAATTGTATGTTTTTAAGTTTTGTGATACGAATCATGCCTATAGTTTTCGTGGAAAGAATTTTAATAACTCCCTTCAAACATTGTGTAAAATTGAAAGAATTTTTTTCATTTCAAATCAAAAAAAAGGCTAAACAATTTCAGCATTGATAGGATGATTTAAAGCTGACACGCGCATTGACAAACAACAAAAGTTACCGAATATTTCCCACGTTTGAAGCATCATATTTAAACAAATCCCTGCACAGGTGCACCTAGAGAAGAACCCTGATGGTCAATTGAGTTTACAGCAGGCGGGGGCGTGACATTTTTCTCTTACCATTTAACTCGAACAAGTCTTTGTTCGTTTACAACGACAGAAAGTCGGACAGATTACAAAAGGTCAGTGTTCGTGATTTTTTTATTCGTGTTTACAATGCCTTTGGGGATAATGTGAGAAAACGAAATTAAGAGAAGTGTAACGTTAAGTATCATAAAGACGGACGAAGGAGCTTTTTAATTGAAAACAATGAGTCCGATGCTCAGTATACGTCGAAAAATTGTGAAAAGAAAGCATAATAAGTTTTCATGAGAGATATAACGAGAAATACAGGTTCATCTATAGTGGAATCGAAGATTTGGAGAAATAAATTTAAAAAATTTTAGGCTGCGATCTATTTTCTCAATTTAAATCTACATTTATTTATTTTATGAATAGAAAGGGATTCCAATATTGTTTTTGGGAACAATCAAAATTCAACCATGAAAACGGTGCCTTTATAGTTTAAAATTTCTGTTATAATACTTAACCGTTACCAAGACCTTTTGTAATTCATTCTCATATGACTTTATAAAATAGAAAAAGTACCATTACAATATATAATGTTGCACGATGGCGTCAGCAAATCAGATTAGTTCACAGTATGAATGCATTTATTATGCGTACGTTCCCTCAAATAAATTTGCTAACGAATTAGAAAGGGGATGCTGTCATATAATAACAAGTTCCTTCTTGCCTGTGTGCGGTCCCGACACCCCGCGGGCTGTAGTCATCGGGACAAGCATTATATGACACATCTCCCATGGGGTGAATACCACCATTTCATTCAGGATCGACCGCAAACTTTGCCACAATAAAAAGAGACCTATGTATGCAGCGTACATGCACAAATCTTGCACAATGTACGATGCGGAAGTTGGGTGATATTGCTTAAGTGAAACTGTCGAAATTGAATAATTGAGTGACGATTTCAGATGGTCCCTTTTGAAACTACCAAGCAATGTACCACTTTTAATGAGAAATTGTATACAGGAATCAATACGAACCATTGTTTTAACATCTTTAAGACATTTGAGTACACATACAGTTTAAAGTTTTGACGCCTTTGTTTTGTTAGATGCATTAAAACAATATTTTACTTAATCTCTGCACAGGGCACTGATTCTTCAGATACAGTACACACTTAGTTATAATAAAATTAGAATTATTACTTACCTTCGTCCCACAAAATGCCTCACCAGGGTAAGTTTAGGCTAGAACCACGCAAAAAGAATATTATTTTAAAAATCCAACACCGTTTAATTTTGCGATAATTTTAAATTATATTAGGAGAATCAACACGGTAATTTACACTGAAACTGAGAAAATAAACACAACGCTTTGTTTAGGTATTACTATCACCGCTCTGCCAATGCCATACTTTTTATTAATATTATGATAAAGATGCTGTCATTGAAGGGGTCAAACGAAGCAGGATATTTCCAAACAAGCTGAATCTGCTTTTCACGCAACCACTAAAAAAGGAGCCGTCTGTTATAATAGCAGGATAATAATGTCCTTAAAAATATATAAAATTTTGGTCATTTCCTTTTTATTTTCGAAATCGGAAACAATAAATATATAACGTACTTTTTTTTTACAATTTTGGCCTTCATACTTACTACTAATGATGATAAGTGCAGTTGGGGGTGAATAAGGGTAAATAAAGACCCCAATCAACGGTTACTAAGGTAGCAAAACTCCTTATAGCAACCAGGTATCATTCACCTCATCATTTCTTTGTCGTTTTATTTTTTTGTACTGTCAAAATGTCACACATAGACGTCATTACGGATTTATCGGACAAAAAATTAAAAATCATCCCCGAACATGTTCTTCGACGCACCAACACGAAAATGCTTTATTTGGAAAGAAACAACATTGAAGAACTTCCCGCGGACTTCTTTACGTTTCTACCCAAACTGACTTGGCTCGATCTGAGAAACAATAAGCTAAAGGCGATTCCGAAAAGTATAGCCAATCATGAATGTTTAGAAACACTTCTCCTTCAGGATAATCAGATCCACAGTCTTCCGGACGAACTTGGTAAGCAAACTTTTAGACTTAAATGGTACATTTTCAGCTAAAAGTATTTATTTAGGATTGCTGCCAAAACTCAAAGTCTTACAGTTAGCTGGAAATCCCCTGACTTATCCTTCAGACGACATTCTTAAAAAAGGCGTTAAGGAGGTGTGCAGATTTTTAAAAGAAAAATACAACAGAACTATTGAATCACCCCCGGAAGAACCATCCGCGATTTTACCAGTTGAAGAAGTAACTTCCATACATAGCGTTACTCGTGAAAAGAAGTCTAAGACCAAAATTAAAAAACCTTCAGGGAAAAAGATGACTATTCAAGAACTTCTTCAAGCATCCTCTCGGACTGCGGTAGCCATGGGGGGTGTTTGGCCTGTTATTAGTATTAAAAGCATTAAATGTCCAGGAGATGAAATAGGTAGAATGCTTAATTAAAAGTTGTACAATGTAATCTAATTTTATATACCTGCATTGTTTTCCTTAGCACCTAAAAAGACTGTAGCTGACGTATTCTTCGTGCCAAAATCTTCCAACAACAAAATGGCAGCAATAATAAAGAGAAGCCCAAAAATGTCTTTAAATAGTGTAAAGCGTAATTCTCCAACTGACGATACGAAAACTATTCAAAGACCCAGTTCTGGTATATCCCCAAAACCAAAAAAGTTACCTCCCAGACCAAAATCTGCTAAACCAAGTTCGAAAATATCAACCGCAACCTCACCCAAGCCTTCTCCCAAACCTGTTGATCAAACATCTGCTAATAAACCATTTTCTCGACAAGAATCTGATGACCTTTGCATAGAAACATTGGACAACAATGAACCTATTAGTTTGGGGAATCTCAAACGTAAAAAGTTTATAAAATCGAAGTCAGAAGGTAGATCTAGACCTACAACTTCGGAAAGAAAGTTCGAGACTCCACCTAAATTAGAATCTGAATTCAGAGCAGTGAAGTCAGAACAGAAAGAAGGTATTAGGTTTCTTTCAGAAGAAGCAATGGAACCTGAATGTGAAATTAAAACAACTGATTACAACGAATCTTTAACCAATAATGCGTATCAAAAAAATAGCAGCGTAAGGACAAGAAGACCAGGTTCACCAAAATCGAGAATGTCACTACCACCGCAAGTTAAATCAAATGCCGATTTTCCATTCGACGATAAACTTATTACGATGGACGAAGCAGCGGATAATGAAATGACATCGTTATGGTTGCAAAATCTAAAAGATGTTCTTAATCAACAAGAAACCATTTTACAACAAGAAAGGTAGATTTTGTAGGTATACAAATAACGTCAACAGATCTGAGAAAATTTCGATTATTAATTCGAATTAGTTTTTTTTATGAATACTCTCCTTACTTTAAATCAGATGATATGATATTCTTTTTGACGATAATAGTAAGTAAAAGAGTTTATTAAATAAGTACAATTTTATTTCTTCAGAAATTTAAAAGAGTTGAGTTCGTGGCGTCTGCGGAAAAAAATGGAACCATTGCGAAGTATGCCACGTAAAAAACTCGAAAATCCATACGATACAGATCCGGAATATGATCAGATTATCTCTCGCAAAGACATAGGGCGTAAAACGCCAAAAAGACCGAAGAAAACTTCGAAGCCCGCAGATATGGATCTAGAAGAACTCTTATCAGAAGTTAGTGCCAAATTAAAAGAATTTGAGAAACCTTCAATATCCCGTGACCCTAAAAGTCCTCATTCAGAACAAATTGCTGCCGAAAGGGAAATAAGAGAGGTAAATTACATACTCTTCTAATTTTTATCCCATTTTTTCGAATGGACTAATTTTATTATAAGTGAAATTGATATTGAACATACTTCGGGGTCGTTAGATAAAAAATTAAAAAGAATATTGGAGAATGACTGACTTCTCCCCGAAGAATTCGTATTTTGTTACAAATAGCATAAATGTTTTTATTTATATTTCGTTATAGTTTCAAAATTGTTATCGAACTGTTAGATACACGTATTTTGTAAATTTTCTACACCAGTTTTAATGTTTTCACTTTTTTATTCAACGCCATGTTGCTCTAATAGCCGCATTTTGGATTCCTCTTTTGTATCCAGTTTCACTTAGGGCTTTAAGACGAATTAAAAAGACATATATCTGGTATGCAAGGGAAGAAAAAGTAGGGAATGAGCGAATATAAAGATAGGAGACGAAAAATTAGAAGAAGTGGCTGATTTTAGATACCTAGGAAGTCAGATAAGTCAGGATGGAAGGAGTAGTAGGGATATAAAGCAGAGGATAGCGCAGGGTTGTGTTGCCTTTAATAAAAAGAAGTCACTTCTATGCTCGCGAACGGTTAATTTAGAAATTCGAAAAAGGTTGTTAAAGGTGTATGTTTGGAGCACGGCGTTGTACGGGTGCGAAACATGGACAGTGGGAGCGGCGGAAAAGAAAAGGTTAGAAGCGTTCGAAATGTGGTGTTATAGGCGGATGATGAGGATATCGTGGGTAGAAAAGGTTAGAAATGAAGAGGTATTGGAAAGAATAGGAGAACAGAGGACTCTATGGAAGTCAATAAAAAATAGGCGAGATAGGTTGGTAGGACACCTTCTCAGGCATGAAGGTCTAGTCAGAGACATATTAGAGGCAGAAACAGGAGTTAGGAGGGGTAGAGGTAGACCTAGATTAGATTACTGTTCGCAAATAGTTAAGGATGTGGGCTGTTCTAGTTTTAGGGAAATGCGAAGTTTAGCTCAGGATAGGAAAGAGTGGAGGTACGTGTCCAACCAGTCTTAGGACTGACGACCTTATGATGATGATGATATTTGTTACAGTTGTAACACCTGTCAGTTCTCTATTTATATGTTCTCCTTCTTATAAATAGCAAACCGTTAAATAAATAGCCCTTTAAGGGTTGAATTTTTTAAAAATTTTATATCTATTATTAATACATGAATGGCCAAATTTGCCATAGGTTTTATTTAGTGTTTAGTATAAAAAGGGAATCAAACATATTTGAAAGGTGCAGATGAAAAATCATCTTAACTCAATACCTTTTCTTTGGTTTTCTTATGCCAGTGTCTAACTAGGGCAACTTTTTACACATTTGTATGGCTTTTATCCTAAATTACTTACCTTTTCACTTTGCAGATATCCGAATTACAGAAGAAAATATTACAAGCTCGTAAGGCTCACTAATTCCAGCTCATCGATCGAATATATATTTATACAACATCACTTCAATTATTATTTGTTATCACTCGTGACTTGTGACAGTATTAATAATTGTTTGTCAATTAAAATATTAGAAAAGAAAAAATACATATATGCAAGGTGGAGAAAAAAGGGCTTTTATTTATTTTAATAACCGATTCTTTTATATATAAATTTTGTAGCATTCAGTAATCATAAATAACATCACACTATTAATTAATTACAGTAAATAATTAATTATACTCCTTATACAGTACGTATCACGATATGAAATTTACACATAAATAATTAATTCGCGACGAGTTTGTAAAAGGTTTAAAAGAAATAACAATCACAACGTTACGGTAAATTGATTAGTGTCGTCAGTCGATATTAAAAAGAATCTATAATAAAATAAAAAGCTATTATATAAAACTTTAAAATGTGCGACCCATAATGATTTTTCCTTCGATAGGTTCCTGAATGTTTTCAACGAAACCTAATTTACCATAAAACGCGTGGGTGTAACTGTCGGTGGCGTTCATAACTGCATGAACCCCAAAAGAACCTATAAAAAGGACAGATTTAATTTATTTAAATGACTTTCAGAGTAGTGAAAAAACATACCGTTTGCTCTTAATGCTGCCAGCAAACAGGTGACCAGTCGTTTACTAACAGACTGATCTAATACTGATGGAAGTAAACTGCAAACCATACTAGATGGATGTGTACTATTGGAGATATATTGTTCCTCGTTGAAATTTCTGAAGTGATTTAAACATTCCTAGTAAGAAAATAAACATCAATTCACATTCACCACGAAAAAAACATACCAAACATAATTTAACAATACATCAATACTTAAATGAAAAATCTTCATACTTTTGAAAAAAATTGTGTGCCAAGTACATAAATAGTAATAGTTATTGAAATAATCACCTGTTATTTACAGCGAGATGAACAACAAAATTTCACCATTAGGTTCCTTTCCACATTTCCAGGTATAGAACCAAAAAGTAATATTCTTACCTTTGCCACATCAGACAGGCTATCTTCAACTTCATTCGGTGGATATTTGAGTTTCATTTCCGGTATCCAGGCAAGTTCCTTTTTGATTCGGAACTTCTTATAATCTGGAGCTGCGCACGCATAACCCACGATACTATTTTCATCCTCCACAACCATACAAAATTCGGGATGCAACGTCACGTAAGGACCTACAATCCTATCGGCATAGAGGTCAGCATATTTATCAGGATGAGGATGAGAGTCTTCTAAACCATCCTTGCACGTTCTCTTACACACTTCATAGACTTGTGCCTCGTCGGTGGGGAGATATGGTCGTATGGTGTACACATGACACGAAGGTACCTCTGGAGCCTTGTACATGAACAGGTCGTTTCCAGAATCGACCGGAATTAAACGCTGCAATAAGATCGAGAACCCAAATGAAGTATGATATTCGCAAAAAGTATTTAAACAGCAAGTGACGCATCAAAAATTAAAAAATTAATAACAGAATAGGTCAATTAGTGCGCGTTTTACCTGAAGGTCCGCAGTCAGACCGCCGCGAAATACCCAAGGCTCCTGCTCGCCGCTCATAAAGGTCTCCTTCCAACCCTTAGAAAACCCTATAAAATACCACAGAAATGCGCCTCAGTCAACTTCAACAACTGCCCAATCGCACTGGCTTGCCGGCAATATTATAAAGAAAAGAATAAAATTTTTCTTACGCCAATTGCGATATTAGAGTAATTTTTACGCAAATAGCCCATATACTTACCCAACCACTCAAAAGTACTTCGTAAGTATCTGTAATTTTAGTTTTACAAAAACAGAGACCAAGGATCAGAACAATCACATAGTTTAAGCAATAATTATGCAAAAATATTAAATAACAGCAAAGAGTTGTAATCAAGCAAACATTCTGATCCTTTCTCTCGTAATCCTTATAATAATACGTAAAAAAGTAGATTTCTAACAAAAACCAAAAGAAATAACGTGTGGAGTTCTGAAAAAACGAAAAAAAAAGTGGACAAATTACGCCCTAGCGCGTCCTACGCAAAACTGAAGCACTACGCATTTCGACTAAAGAGTTCCAGAAAGAAGAAAAAAGCTGTGATGCATACATGTGTATGTCCCCTGGGTGTAGGATGGCATAGATGCAGGAAACTGGCCTCCAGCTTTAGAAACAAAATAAACAAATGATTAATAATTAACATGAAATACAAATAAACCAGTACAATTTTATAGCAAGTAAATCTAGCTTAAAACGGTTCAATGAGAAAAATAATCATTTTCAAACATACTTTTTAACTTATAATGAAAGAATTAAACAGTAAAACCTACTAGCTTCACAAAATTTCTAAAATTGATTTAAAGAATATATTGTGTGTATTATCATTAATTCTCATTAAACCATTGATTAAATATAAATTAAAAAATAAAATAAAATTTACATTCTACAAAACATAAAAACAAAAAGTTATTCGGTTCATCAAGAAACACATAAAAATGGCTTCGTTTTCGAGAAAAACCTCTGCCAAATAAAGAGAAACCGTGAACAATTACGCACATTACGCTATCCTACTCTGCAATCCATGGATGTACCTGAAATAAAACCCTAATAGTGACACCAATAACTAATACACTTCATTTCGACCAATTTCTACTCGTCTATTGTTAGTAAAATTAATATTATAGTATTTATTAGTAACATGATGCATTTAATTTTAAATTATATGCAAAGTAAATCAATTAATTTGACAAGATTAGCAATCTGTAACGATTTATCAGCAGTACAACATTTATATTAGATGAATTTTCCTGTATTTTTTTAGGAAGCAAAACAAGTAATTAATTTTACAAACAAGATAAAAACGAATGAACATGTGTGGTGTAAAGTGTATCAGCTTTTCTAAAGACAATTTTTAAAGAACAAGTACTTTACTTATTTTACGCCAAACATTTTATACATCTAAATTGCGCATTTTTATTATCCAAATTACGCTTACATAAAGCAACAGAGGTTTCTCTTTTATTCACTTTATTATTTTGAGCAAAAATAAGTAATTATTTCTTTTCATCGATTATTAGATTTAAAAAATTAAACCGAATAACACTAATATCAACTTACAAAAAAATACAAAATTTCTTCAAAAACATACCAAGCCATCTAATATACGAATTTAATAACGATATAACTCCTCTTATATCCCAGATATAAGAGTAGAGATCATACAAAAGTTCTCTATTATTGCATGCAGCCATGTGCTGGAACAGTTTGTTTACAGCTTGTGTCATTTCATTCATTTTTTCCGCCCTCGAAAACCATTCTTGCACCTATTATATAACATGTATTAATTATTTATACATTAATGTTTTAACTGTCGTGTAATTAAAATTAAATTTGCTAACCTCAGGTCTGGATTTATCCTTAGTTTGGTTTGCAACAATAACAAGATGCGCGTTTGATTTGAGCCAATTGAATTCTTGCAATAATTGCAGTCCTTGTCCCCCATGCTCAAAGGGCAAATAAAATAGATCACAGAGAAGTGATAAGTCTTCTATTGTTAATTCGTTTTCTTTCCTAAAATTCCTGAAAACAAGTACTATTTATAGGTTTCTCAGATAAAGGTTGTAGTAATATTTTACCTAGATTGGTCCGATTCATTGTCATTTTGTTCCACATTCATGTTAGTACTGGTTTCAGTTGATTCAACTTGCATACTACCACTTGACATCTGAAATAAATAAATTTAAAAGATAAAATTTTTAAATTGAAGTAAACATTTCATTTAGTTACTTACAGAGGTATTTTCACTCATTGGCACGTCTTCGTTCATGGGGCTTTTGACATGACTAGGAGATACATTTGGAGTACTATTACAGTCCATAAGTTCTGATGGAGTTAAACTCGATTCGTTACTATTGTCGTTCACCAAGTCAGTACTCATATGACTCTCATCTTTAGCCATTTTACCATTTATAGGTTTCTCAGATAAATCTTCATCAGGCTTACATGTGCCATTACTGGTCAAATTATTCTTATCTATTTTTAAATGGGTTCCATTTAACACAGGAATGTCTTTAGAATCTGCTGGGATAACAGCTACAGCTACTGGTGCAATGGGGTTTGGTATGCCATCGTCACAAATTACTTTTGTATCAGATACAAGTGAATTCATGACTGGACCTGGGGTGGGATTCATTAAACTTTCACTTGTTGATGAGACCTTGATGAAATAGAAAGTGCATTTTTAATTAATTTTATAACAATAATCTTACAGAATATTCCTGAAGAATCAAATGTACAAATTTTAATGATTTTAGAACTTATATAAATCATTTTTAATTTACAACAGTGTTAAGTAGATACAATATTTCAATGTTTAAGTTGAATATTAAACACTTACTGTACTGCAAACTTCTGCCAAAGCTTGTAACTGATTTGTATTAACAGTAGTTGAAGTAACATTTGTAGAACTTGTGGTTGTAGTGCTGGTCAAACTCATGCATGTATTTATTGAAGGAATAATGGGTACAGGAACAACTACACACAAAAAATAATTAACTCATTAGTTATATTCTACAAATTAATCAGAATAATAGATTAGCATACTTGCTACAGACGGTTGAGGCTTTGCTATGGGTCCCCATGCCATTTTATGTTTTGAAAACTCAGGCAGCCAGTCTTTTATAGCATTCTTCAATGCTTGTCTTGGATGATACATATTTGGTGATAATGTAGTTGGCACATCTTCTCCTGTCATTCCATCTTCAGTCTCAGTCTCAAGTTTGATATCTGCAGATACACTGTCATCTAAAAAAAAAAAACATTAAAACAACTGCTTTAACAGCATGCAGAGAACTACACACTTATTGATAAATCCCTTTGACCATTGACATTACATCTAGACCACTGAGCCAATGTATGAATGGCCACAAAGTTAGCACCATATTCACAATTAGGGTTTGTCAAAACACCTTTCAGTTTGGGTATTAAGTCTGGAGAACGACCTGAATACGGACCCAAAAATACTCTCTTTTGGTCATAATCATTTGCATGAAGATTGTCCCAAATAACTGGAGGTCTTCTTAGAACATCAGTTATTTCTTGAATTGATTCAACAGTTAGGATACGTGAAACTACTTTTGGTCCTATAAAATTTTAAATATTTTAATATGATGTAAAATAGTAGCATACTGGAGAAAAAGTTTAAAAATGTTGCAAGGCTAGGATTACACTCACACTTATGGGTATGGCAAGAAAAGATGGAATTCAGGATTCAGGATAACTACCTAACACCAGCAACATGAATGAAAATATTTACCAGTCCACATAATGTCTATTTCTTGGGCCAGTTTGGATCCTAAAGTATTCAAATACTCAGAATTTGCAACATTTGGCATTGCTCTGGATTCACAATACTGAGTAGGGCATAGAAGAAATTTAGGTTGACCTAAATGTTGATAAATATCATTTGTCACAGACACTTGAGCATGGGCAAATGACTGAAAAACTTCCTTATCAGCTTCAGACATTTCAGGTTCAATATCATCAAACAAAAGGGCAAATGCATTGCAACCAAATTGAGACACTTGTTCTAATTTCCTTTTCAAAGCTGTAATTTCTTTTGAACTACTGTAAGTGATGTCTAAACCAGGGGACAAAGCATAATAGAAGGTAATGTTGTTATCCTTGGCTGCATTAATAAGACCTGTCAAGTGTTCAGCCTCTTCAACTGTATATAATTCTCTCCAATAAGCACGATGTTTATAATCATCTTTTGGAGCATAAACATATGACTGCATGCCCCATTTTTTCATTCTAAAATAGTGTATATTAAAAATAATTCACTTAATTTTTACAAATCAATTTACTTTTGAAATAAATCCTTTCTTTGTTCTGTTGTCCATGGTCGGCCATAGAATCCTATGAAATAAGGATTATATCATAATTACAACAAAATGCTATACGTTCACATTAAATCATAACAAATTACGATGAAAAATAAAGACATAAACATTACGTGAAATATTTAGATTATGCTTACCCTCTACCACTCCACATATGAAATTTCCGTTTTTGGAATTGGTATTTTCGGATACTGGAGATGGGCTATTTTCTACCATTTTATTTTTATTAGATTGCAAATGAAAATACAGCTACAACACTTATGAATTCACTTCACTTTTAATCCTTACTAATGGACGGAACGAGAATTTGGAGAATTTCAATGCGCAAACTCTTAATATAAAAAATTCCACTGCAGAACTTCCTTTACATAATATATTCCACCTAATTACACTTTTAAACAAGATGAACGTTAAAAAAAGAACACAATTGTCTACACAGATGTTTAACAGTACATCGACACCAACAAAAGTTGTTTAATGGTACGCCATTTTCACATCTATTTAAAGAACTTGAATGTGGTTAAATATACGGATAAGGCGTTTACATAGCCACTTACGAATGCATTTTTAATGTACAGGGTGCTCTCCAAATTGCAACATTAACGCACCGGACATTACGTAACTTAAAATAAGTATATATGGTGATAGATATTATTAAAAAGGAGTATTAATTATTATAATATTTTATTAGAAATGTATATAATATCGATTGATATAAAAAAATATATTACAATAGTACGTATTACAGGCACGGAAGTTTAATTAAAAGAATCTTAAAATACTTAATGAAATTCTTTTATGGTTTATTTGAGGCAAATCTATGCCCAGATTTTTTTCTCCTACAACCAATTACGAATGCAAAACACGCAGCTAAAAATAAGGCTGCGTAAAATACAACCATGGCAACTACTTCGTATCCTCCATAGTTATACAACAGTTTGTCGTTCGGTAAATAACCATAATTAAAAAGAACTTGTGTCCCATTGGGTGGTGGACAAGGTAACTGAACTATTATATCTTGACGTTGAACCTATGTACAATAAAACAGAACAATTAAACATATACATAAAATAAAACATCACCTATCGAGATTTAATAGCATTAAAACAAGTTATTGTGGTATTGTATTCGTTAGATGGCGCGGCCCAGGACTTAACTATTACGAGTAAAAAAGCATTTACCTGTTTGTTTCTACAAAGTTGAGTGGACATACTACTTGATATCGCTTCGGGGGTCAATTCTTTCCTTATTATGTACGGCATAAGCCACGTAGAAGGGCTTATGTACTGAATCCATTGAAAATAGAACGGAATATCTCTAACGTGTATCGTATAACCGCACGATAAAAATAACGACGTAATCACAAAACTTGATACTAACGTTGCCGCATTTGAAAATGGTATCAAGTAATAAAATGCCGTTAAAAGTATTTGTACACAACTCAGGTACAGTAGCATGTAACCTGAAACAATTTATTTATTACAGCAAGATGGCGAACTTTAACGCCCTATTGTATTACAACAAAAAAGCAAATGTGTTTAAACGTTAATTTTAAATGTAACAATGCTATCCAAAGTATATTTTAAAAACGGTACTTACGGTACCGGCATGAAATGAATCAAAAGATTCGTTTTATTGTTATTTGTACAGTGTAGGTATTTGTAAATTCGTCCTTATCAAATGTTTTACTCACCTAAGTACATATAAAATCCATTATAATTATTAGTTCCTTGCATGTACAGTCCACTCATCGAATAACTTGGCACAATGTATATCAACCACACAAAAAGCGAAGGAAATAAGTTAAGAATAATCTGTAAAGAAAGGATATAAAAAATACTTTAAGGGTAAACAAAAATAGAAATGGCACCTATACCTTGACGAACGCGTACGTAAACTTCCCGTAAAGGCCGTCTTTAATGTCCCTTTCGATTGTGTTTTTATTTTTTCGCATTTCCATTAACGTTAACATCAGAAGAATCGGCCAAATAGTAACGGACATCATCGTATAATGATATCCCAGTCTATCGTTTAAAATTAACTGTGAGTCGGAATTCGGTACGTCCCAAAATATTGCACCTGTTATAAGGGACAGACTAGCAGATGTTATTATTAACATTATCCAATAAATAAAAGTGTTCGGCTGCGTATAAAACATTGCTTTCCTAAAAATGAAAAGTGTTATAAACATAAACCATCAGAATAACCAGACGGGAAGTCACTCACGTAAACAATACGAATGCCTGTTGGAAAAAGTTGGATTGTTTAACGGTCATAGGTAACGCTGAAGGTGGTCCAGGATCTCCGAAATTTTCATGTTTCTGTTGAAATATTTCGGCCAGTTGTTCTATTCTTTGAGACGACTCTAACATTGCCTCAGCTGATAAATCATCCAATGTTACCAAATCCACTAGAAGAAACAATAATTTTTACTGAAAAAAGTAAAAAGAAAAAATCAAAAATAACTTACAGTAATAATCGGATGGATTTTTGAACGATGGACATGGATAATCTACCATGGCAAAGTACTGCAGCATATTTTTCCGCTTTCCACTGTACATCACGCGACCAGCAGAAAGAAGAAGAATCCTTGATAACATCGTGAAGATTTCGTAGGTGGGAGGATGTAAAGTGATTATGACGATTCGCCCTAAAAGATAAATAAATAAATCACTGATTAATTGCTTTACTATACCAAAAACATAAAATATATCGGAATACCTATGGAATTTCCTGCTCCTCCACTAGCCCATTGTCGAAGATACTCAACCAGGAAGAACGTATCAAAGATGTCCATTCCTCTAGTCGGTTGATTTAGCAACACAATATCTGTATCCATCAATAAATGACAGGCAACATTCAGTCTTCGTCTTTCTGATGTTGTTAAGTTGCACACCTTTGTGTTTCTGACCTGTTCCAATCCCAAATCTTCGATAAGAATGTTAATCTGTAACAAAAATTAACGTTAATCCCCATTACACCAGAGACCACCTCAAATAGTATTAATTTACCCTGTCGATTGCTCCAACTTTTATATGCTGCAATTTTTCCGTTGGTTTCCTAAGATCGTAATGGAACCGGAGGGTTTGTACGGTTGTCATATCTTTACATAATTGAGCATCATTTTGTACGTAAGCAACGCGTGATAACAGTTGCCGAGGTGATACGGTTTGACCATTCAAAAATATACTTCCGAAAGCTTGCTTTTTGAGACCCGCAATAATATCTAACAGTCCAGTTCCTTCCGCTTCTGAGGTAGCCATCACCGCAAGAACTTCACCACCATGGGCTTCGAACGACACGTTGCTCAGTAAAAGGTGACTTCTGTTCCCAAAACAGCCCGATCCAGAATTAGGCCAAGCTCCCAACCCTATCACCTGAAGAACAGTAATGATCCTTCAAGATTCGTAATACAGTAATCGAAAAGTTCTGATTTGTAGTGAAAATTCAATTGAAACTGCCACTGACCTGTAAATGAGGATAAAGAAACGTAGGACCATCTTCAGGATCGTGAGTGAGGTAATCTCCTTTTAGGACCGATGGTACTCGCCTTGACGTTGCTGCAGATAAATGGCTTTCGGCTTTTGATATGCCAATTTGGCTGAACCCGCTAAAGATATCATAATTTTGACATAAAAATGCAGGACATTACAGAGAATTATTTTTACCCTTTTTGGGTACCTATCCTAAACAACGAAATTGCATACCTGTGATCCACTACATCCTGGTGATGAATAAATCCAGCGACACTATTTCTCCTTGGATCAAAACCTCGAGAATTACCTGGATAATTATTTATCGGTTTCTTGTATTCGGTTGCTAAAAGATTAGCTTCCGATATACTTTTATTTCTGTTCCAGTTACTTAAAGTTCTAATTCCACCTTGATGCAAGGCAGCTAATGGTGCAGGAGTATCCTGAAATCCAGTATTTATTTTTGAGTTTCGTATGCCTTGCAATATTTTTGTTTAACTTTATTATTATACATTTATAATATAACTTTTTTATTTTGGATTCTTTTTTATTTTAGATTCTTTATGTAATCATTATTTGTTACTGTTTAAACAGGTGGTAAACAAGAGAAATATTAAAGAGAAAATCAGTGTCAATATCATAGTTTAATTTTACAACGAATTTCATTTTCTAATCTGTTAAGAAAACGAAAAATGAGTTCCAATGGTTTCTAATAAGTATTTGACATTGTTATGCCCTTCATCGCTGGAATTGAACAAACAAACAGTTCTATTTCTTTAACGTTTGAGGCAAAAAAAACAGATCTAGGCAGATAAAGAACCTGTTTATTTCTTCACGTTTAGTGCAAGAATAGCAGTCAATTGATGTATTAGAGACGCGTTTATTATTTATAATATTATATCAGTGTTTTAATTACCGCGTATGCAATTTGTAAAAACTTTCATTATTCGCAAAAACTGCGTGGGTGTAATAAGTGTAAGAAGATACTATTTGGAGACACAAAAGCTTTGGTAAGTGTCTTCATTTTCTATTAAATAAATAGGTATATATGTATATAACCTATACAATAATAATAATTATAGGTTTATACGTAATTATAATTTGGGCAAGTCGATCAATTCTAATATTTGTCCAATGTATGAATCAAAGCCGATCAGGGCTTAAAAGTTTTCTATTTTTCAAAAACAACAGCATCATTTCAATCCAACAATTTAACGACGAAATGTTGGCAGTTGTTTTTGAAAAATAAAAAACTTTTAAACCCCCCGGTGGGTTTTAATTCAATTCAGGTATCTACTATTACTCGAAACCGTTCAATAGGAAGTATATCATAATCATGTTTACGGTTGACTTTAACACTTGTAGGTAGGGCAATCATATAAAATAAACTATGCTTAAGTGTAGTGGATAAATGAGATCAAAATAAATTCACATGCCGTGAGAAAGTGGATACGCGAAAGTAACACAATAGTTTAAGGTGCGGTTGATTTTTCCGGTAGGTACAAATGCTTACCCCTGGATCGTAATAGGAAGGATGTACATGTTGCATCCGGAAATCTGGATCCGATCTGTATTTTCGACTTTGTTTGTAATGATTTGTCGTTTCGTTGTCTGAACTATCGTAACCAGAACTTCCTTCACGGGTGCTTCTTAATGCCGATTTTGGTATCCTAAATAACAACAACAAATTAAACAATCTTGGAAAGTATTGTTGTTAAACAAACTAACAACAGCTTGTTCATAAGAGCCACTGAGCTCAAAACCTTTAAACTAATTGAGAAATACGTATTTATTACTTTACAATTAGTTATTATTGACCAATTATGCAACTAGATAGCAAAATGTGCTCACAGCGAACATACTTAGCGGCTCTTACTTCTTCTTGGCCAATCAGACACATGATTTAGTACGTAGACCATTTAATATGCCAAGCCTTTTTATACATATATTGCTATTTCATTTCCTACGCTTAAGATACTTCGGAATTAGAACATTTTTATAGAAAATATTTACCTCGATTGTGGTCGTGAAGACGACCCCCTTTTAAAATGTTGTGGAGTCCCAGATTTGTTGGAACCGTTGTGGTTTGGTGGCAACACTCGCGGTAATCCGAACTTTAAATAAGTGTACATGTTTGACCCCAATGCAGATCTATTAATAACAAATAATAATAGGAAAATATAATTAAACATTTATATTGTTTTAATCGTAATCTCTTACTTAGGTCCATATCGGGGATGAGATAATATCGATTGAACTGTTGTATCCCTTAACTGAAAGTTTCCATAAGGAAGCGGGCTTTTATCTGTCGATCCTAAAGCGCTGTCCGTGAAATCGGAATTAAGATTTTGTCTGCGACAAATTAAAACGAAACTCATAACAAATTATTACTCTGGACATATTTATTGTTAATAAGCTGTTCTAGAATGAATTAATTGCAACTATGCCAAATTTAGTATGATGATTTGCTAGGCCGTTTCCTGATGACTAAAAATAGCTTTCGCGTTAGACACATCCGTTGCGGAATTGAAATTGCTAGCAGATTGTGCAATTTATTTTTAATTAAAATTTAAAAGCAGTTTGGTACATTTACAATTGCAGAAATTGCAACGTGAATGCAAGTAGACAAGGATGAATTTAGAGAATAATTATGAACAGCTGAAATCCAATTATAATACTATTTTGTATTGCCAGGAATTTTAAATAATTACTATTGTTACATAAGTACAGGGTATTTCTTTTGGGTCGATACTGCTTCAAAATTAAAATTATTTTGAAGAAGAAAATATTTGATTGTTTTTATATAATTAGATTAGAAACTGGGTTAGTTTTTACTCCTCTAATTGCTTGTTCTTTTAGTAAACTTAATTATGTAAAGTAACCTCGTGCAGGATTAATTTTTGGTGTGAATTATCTTTTGGTACACAACACAATAATCCTGGCAAGACGGGACGACATCACGGCTTTTAATTTTTTTTGATTTTCTATGAATTATATCAGTTATAAACCCAGGCACAAAACAGTATATACACTAGTAGAATAAATTTCCAATTACTAAATTAAAATCATGTTCCCTTAACATCGACGACAGGTGTCAGGTATGCGACTATGTCTAACCCAAATACGTGAAAGTAATTTATAATTAGACAATCCCTAACATTCCTTTGGGTATTATTTAAATGAATACGTTAAGTGCTAAATACGTACGCTACTTTGCTTTGTTTACTTTATCATATTTTTATGTTTGCTACTAGCAAAATACCTATGACACACTTTTGCAACATGATCTGTCACATTTAAAAAAAAAAATTACTTTCGGATTCTTCTCTAAATGGATGTACTTGAAATGATGTGAAATTGTTTGATGTAATACTTATGGCTAATTGTTAGTGGAAAAAAGGAATTTAATAATTAATAAATTAAAGGCATTTGTAACTTAATAGAGCTACATAAAGTTCATTTACCGGAATTGCAATAGCCCAAGCGAAACTGTAGCGAATTGAATTATAATTTAATAACATATTATTTGCGGCATATTATAGCAAGTAGAGTAGCTTGTGTTTTTACTGTAGCTATTATTATTATAGAGTTAAAATAAAAAAAATATCTAAAGTACAAATTTACCTGCAGTTAGGTAGGATAAAATATTTAAAATAATTACCTGTATATGGACCAAGCATGCAAATCCTCGCTAGCTGTTCCAGATAGAGTCCTTGTATCGGGATTAGAAGGTACTGAATATTTTCGTTCCATTTCATAACTTTGGGATCCTCCCCCTTGCGAGGGAGTTCTACTTCTAACCATTTTAGGGAATATATTAACTATTTATTATCTAATCTGAAAAAAAAAAAACAAATTTACACACTAATTCATTTTAAATTTAAAATATTAACGGTGCACTTTTATGTAGGTATATGAAAATAGCTAAATGTTTCATGTTGAAAACAATGTAAAAATAAAATTGGTGAAACATACTACAGTGTTCTATTTAATTAAATATATTCATTACTTTATAGTTGCTTTCTCTAAATGTACTTGCAACTAAATAATGTTTAAATAATTAGACTTTAATGAATTGAGTTTTCCTTCCTAAATTGCAATTTAGGCAAAGTGGTTTTAAATTCATTAAAATGACCCAAAGCCGTATTTCGGAAATACCAGCAATATACATACAATAAAACTTCTTTTTGTTGTAAATTTGACAATCGTAAAATTGTTATTTGTTTCTACTAATCTTCTAATCATTTCGATGAGACATTTTAGTCTTGAGAAGAAAAATCTTTTCTGTTTTTATAAATCATTTATTGGTTAAAACAGTTGTATTTCTTTGTAATAACCAATTAGATATAGTATCTAAAGGTAATTTTAAATAATTAATGAACTAAGTAAAAGTTTACCGTAGCATATAGCACCCGCATGTAAACGAAAAGTCCTCAATTGCCTTATAAACAGGACATTTCGGGTCATCGTCCCCATCAAATATTCAAACTAAGAAAGGAATAAAAATCATTTCACCTGCTGTACCAACTACAACAACTGTTATACACACATAGTATCTTTATTAACACATTCTACAAGAACCTTCACTTGGTATGAAAATATAAATATGAAAGTTTCTAACAGATAAACATATACAAAATAGGATAAATCCTAAAAAACATTTTATTTTACTTATCCTGTGAATTTTTTTTAAACACTAGAACTAGAAAATTAGAGATCCAAGTAATGAATGTTACGATTTATTTACCATATAACGTTAGAGTTATTAGTGTCGAAAGAATTGAGTAATAATTCGAACTGTTCATATCTATCAGCTAACGAGACTTTAAAACTTTGTTCCAATTTTCCTTGATTACCACACTAGATGAAAAGTAAAAGGTTACGACAGAAGTCTCGGTTTCGATCAATGAAATAAATCGTTATAGAAATAGTGGATTTATTTCACTATCAGCAACACTTTGAATGGTTCCTTAATGTTTACAAATGATATTGAATTCCTGCTGCTTGGAATTATTAAGCATATGTATTTCTATATGTGTAAAGGCGTAATAGAAATCGATTGAAATTGGTTTGTAATCATTATCAAAGAGATATTACATATCAAGAGTAGGAAATGCGAAGGTGACAGTCAATTTATAACGCCAACGTAATAACATATACATACACAGGTGTGTAGAATTCTAGACAAATTTGAATATTTCAATTTAAAAACTGGTCTTAATCGGCTTATATTACATATGTATACGAACATATTACGTGCATGTATCTAATTACCACGCAGATCCATCAAAGAAATTTATAATCCAAAATTTTCAATTAAACCCTTCACCTGCGACAGATGTGTTTAATTTTATAGAGATCATAAGAAGAAATAAAATAAATAAACGGTGCAATTTGAAGTATAATTAATTATGTTTTATATTAATTAATTATTATTTCTTATAAAACATCTATTAACGGAAACTAAGTTGAAGTTAAGCAACCAAATAAATTTTAATATTTATATTCCACTAACACTAATGAATTACATAAGTTCCGCTTCGTAAACTGACTCAAATCATTACTAGTTTAATCAAATATAATTTCAGGGTCTACTGTATTCGTAAAAAAAGGCGAAAACAACAACAGTAGTATTCATATGGGTCGTATTTTTAAAATGTAAATAAATTGTGTTGTTATCACCAATTAAACTAACCCAATAAAACAATATAATGGACTTTGTTGTAATATTAAATAATTTTAAGGAAAAAATCCACAAAATTTAGAGTGTTTGTCTCTTCAGTGAATGACAGTTAGGTAGAAGCTGAGATATAACACACAAAGGCAAGGTTCAAATAAAATAAAAATTGTAACAAGTTAAAAAAACATGAATTGTATAAAATCTGTATAACGAGATTCTCGTTGAGGAGAGTTAAAAGAACATTTGTCTCTCTTGACTATCACACACATTAATGCAGCTTTTTCATTCCCGTACACCCTTTATGAAGAATGACCATTTTGTTATATGGAGTTCATCAGTATAGCTAACCAAATAAGTTTACTTAATGACTACATTACAGGGAGCTTTTCGCTATAAACTGTTAACACTGCATTTATTAATGATTTCCTTGTTTAGTTTAATCCTACACAATTCAGATAATGATTAATTTCCTGTCAAGATCAGATAATTATACACTCTTTTCTCATACGTGCAATATTTGCGAAACTGAAATCACACTTCTTTGTTAACTACTTCGCAAAAATATTTCCTATTGGTTACAGTAAAGTTCCCCATCAGTAAATGTACAGAGGACAAAGAACAAAATTAATTCTTATTGTTGCCTCTAGGTTTGTCACACATTACTTCACATTGTTTTATTGGCCTTTAAACTCGTTAAAAAGTTGATCATACAGTCGTACGATCGAGAATCAGGAAACCGTAAAAAACATAAGAATAAGAATTACTTGCTGCAGTGAGTCAGAGCTTTTGAATCTAACAGAGTTTGTTATTTGTTTGTTAGAGGTAAATAGTTTTAATGAGTAAAAGAACACAAGAAGGCATTTTTCTTTATGGTTTTCAGGTTCTCGTAAAGAGATCTGTCAATAGATAAAACGTAAACTGTATTAGGTAGATTGTTTTGTAAAGTATCGGTGATATATCGACTGTTTTTAATGTATCTTTTGAAAGAATGCGGATATTTTTTCAACACGACAATCTTCTGTATTGTTTGAATTAAAGTTCACACAATGTATAACTACGGTTGGCCATGAAATGTTTATTTTCTTCAGCACATTGTAATATTAATTACTAATTAATTCCAGATAATCTTCTGAATTGTTCTAAAATTTACAATGGCTAATGTTTATCGCTGATTAGTTTATGTTATTAAGTTAGGCAAGAAAAATTATTCTAATGCAAATTTGTGATTCTTCTTTATAAGGGTGCATGAGAAGGATCCATCCAATTGAAGGTCGCGATTACTAGTACACCTACCCGAACATATGCATATGTGACTCAATACGTTGTTGAAACATTATTTGAAAAATTTTACGCAATTTAATTCCATGACAGTTTCCAAATAGAATCTTCTCTTTATGATACCTCCCATCCCACAACATAATTCGCTTATATTAAGCTTTTTATGCCACCGCAAGGTAATCGAATGCAGGATGCAGGATGTAAATTGAATATTGTAACCAAGAATGTGATTTTAAATGAGAACCAGAGTATCGTCGGCATTCTCTACATTAAAATTCAGTGCAAGTGAGAGAAATTAGTTATTAGTGAACATAACTGTCCACTGGAAATAATTTATTTTCAAGACGTCCATGCTTACATGTGTATAGTACATATAAATATTAGTCTATTTTCATGCTTACACTTAGTTACCTGCAGGAATCTACAGACGTGTCTTTTTGTAAGCCCATAGAAAGTAAATCAGTACAGAACTATTTTTCGGGGCAGTGTATTATATGACACTATTTGAAGAAATTCTTCTTTTGGTGTATTGAGTAGGTATAAAATTTTATCACGGGACGGAAATTGCGCGCGCAGTATGGGACGGAAACGGCAATATGGACGGAAATTGCGCGCGCAGCATGGGACAGAAACGACAACGAGAATGCAATAACTGTTAATTTTCAACCGTAATTGAAAATATTGTTTAACAAATACACCTTTTTTTTAATATCTATGTACATATGAATCATTTCAGAAAATGTAGAAAATACAGACCACTTCGAATTATTTTATTCGATTAAGCTAACGTGCCTATCACGTTGAGGTTGGTTACGCCAGGATTCGTTTTCAGCAAGTAGATATCCACACAAGTGGACCTTGTTAAAAAATACGTAATCCTAAAATGTAGCATCGTGCTACAGATGGCGTTAACTGTGCCGTTTGTAGTATTTTCTGAAACGCAGTTTCGACAGAATACAGACCACTTCGAATTATTTTATATGAATCATTATTTCCAAATTAAATTGCGGGAAGGCCGATGATAGGATAGGATAAATTAACAGATTGTGCATGGGAAAAAAACGCTATCGAATAATTCGCCATAGACATACCATTAATCGATTGTGCATCATTTCAAGCCCTGAAATTACCGATTATTATTATACTTAGGTAAATTGCTTTGTGTAGGTACCTTCAAAAGTTATACAACTGGTGGAAAAATGAATCATCAGATAAAAGCTCAATGGTCGAGATCAAACATTCATCTAATCTATGTGGTAAAAGCTTGCATTATGTAACAAGGATAATATTTCCTGAAATGAGTGCAACTTCATCAAGATAGTACCACGTTCAACTGACAATGAATGATTTCTTTAATGAACTTTTTCCGGATGGTAGAGAAAACTAAAAGCGAAATTTTACCATGCGTAAAAACACGTTGAAAACTTCATATTACCCGCTGAGAATTTTATAAGCTTAATCTTCATATTTAACTACTGTTTAGCTTATACAATAATTACTACCTACATAAGTCCTGCCTAAGTGGATTTGGTCCAATAAGCTGTAGTTCGACATGTAGAAATATTCTAAGAAATATTTTAACCTTTGTGTGGCATCGCAACTACAAAATAAAGTTGAACCGATTAAAAGTTTTTTCATAATTTTAGGCTAATATTTGCAAAATGGCTTCTAAATATATTAATGTCATAGAATTATCGGTCATATTTAGTTTCAATTTTAGTGTTACAGATTATCAATCATCTACGTTCGATTAATAAAAAGAAGTCCTTCAATTAATTCTAAAGAAATTCTTTAATCAAAAATGGTAAGCTTATATACGATATTATCAATTGCAGCATATATATACGTCCTTCTATTCTGTTGTCAAAGATGATTTGTATGACAAGGCTATTATTTGTTATACGATCTTACATATATTTCGTCTAAATAAGGAAGCTTTCGTATGTTTTAATACTACACTTTAACAATCGTTGAATTATCATAGTTGATTAAACACTTGTGTGTGTGTGTGATGTATGTGTGTCCGTGTGTGTGCGCGTGTGTGTGTGTCTGTGTGTATGTGTTTGAATATGTACCTACGCCTAAATTATGGTATCTATCATTTGTCATTCAATAATGTTATGAAACAAAACATGAAAATGCAAATCAAGTAGGAAGCTCTATCATCATTTAAAAAACAACTGTTTTATAATGTAATTGTTGTATTAACTGTTTTCTTTTTTTTTGTTTGTTGTCATTGATCGCCCACATCAGCGTACTTTTTAATTTCGTGATATGCCATAATATTCTCATACATTATGGAAACTAAACGGTATTTACGAGGGTGGATTGATAAGTTTCCGGCCTAACCAAGAGATGACGCCACTAGGCCTACCTTGAGGTGACATTCTATAGTACCATCCTTGGATAGCTTGTAGCTATAGTTTCAGCCCGATCTCCTTGCTAGTGTAGGTTTGACAGCACGCTGAACAAGACGCCTCTGTGGTTTTCGTAAAAATGGAAAAGCAGGAAAATCGTGCTGTCATCAAATACTTTTATTTGAAGGGGTTAACGCCGAAGGAAATTAAAAAAGAGATGGACTCAACACTGGGGACATCCTCCCCGTCATATTCAACCGTTAAGCAGTGGGTTTCCGAGTTTAAAAAGGGTCGTGTGAGCACCTCTGATGGGCCTCGCTCAGGACGCCCCGTTGAGGTCACAACTCCAGATATGATCGAAAAAATTCATCAAATAGTGCTGGGAGACCGCAGATTGAAAGTGCGTGAGATAGCTGAGACCTGTAAGATGTCATATGAACGTGTGCAACATATTTTGCACCAACATTTGCATATGGAAAAGCTCTGTGCAAGATGGGTGCCGCGTTTGCTAACAGTCGACCAAAAATTGATTCGAAAAAACATTTCTACCGCAAATTTGTCATTGTATAAGCGTAATCCAAGCGAATTTTTGCGTCGATTCGTAACCGTTGACGAAACGTGGGTCCACCACTACACTCCTGAAACCAAAGAACAGTCTAAACAGTGGATTGGACCAGGGGAACCAACTCCAAAGAAGGCAAAAACAATTTTTTCGGCGAACAAGGTTATGGCTACTGTTTTTTGGGATGCAAGAGGTATTATATACATTGATTACCTTGCAAAGGGTAATACTATCACTGGTCAATACTACGCAGACTTATTGCAACGTTTGAGCCACGAGGTGAAAATTAAACGACCTCATCTGGCGAAGAAAAAAATCTTGTTTCATCACGATAACGCACCAGCGCACACGTCAATCGTTGCGACGGCTAAAATCAACGATCTAAAGTTTGAATTGATGCCGCACCCTCCTTACTCTCCAGACCTAGCCCCGAGTGACTATTTTCTGTTCCCTAATCTCAAAAAATGGCTTGGCGGTAAGAGATTTGCGGACAATGAAGAAGTAATCGAAGCTGTAAATGGTTATTTTGAGGAGCTTGACGAATCAGTCTATAGAGATGGCATTAATAGACTGGAACACCGCTATGAGAAATGTATCAGCCTTGGAGGAGATTATGTTGAGAAATAAAAAAAAAAAATTTTTAAAAACCTTGTTTTTCTTGGTCAGGCCGGAAACTTATCAATCCACCCTCGTACATGACACAAAAAATTGAATGACTGATGGTACACGTTGGTATTTACTAGAATAGCAGATGCATTATGTATTATTAACGCATTCGCAAAATCATCAAGGTGTATCACTCTTACAGTAGGTAAATGTTGAAATAAAATTTCAGTTGCAAATTTATAATGTGTATAAGGAATTATTACTCATAAAACGATTACCTACATTTAAAAATTACTGTTTTAGAAGTTTTAATGATTTTATGATGTTAGGAGGCGGTGACAGTCAATTTAATTTCCTTCATTATTTTTATTTTATTTTTTATATGACCTGCTGGCGCATTTTCAGAACAATTTGATTATGGTACAGTTATCATGTTAAACAGTTGTACTTAATAATAATAGGTGATAAACACTTAAGCAGATGGTTCATACAAATTGGTGCGTACACTCAATGTGATAATAACAGTAATAGTTTTATGAAGTCGGCAATTATATTGTACTAGTTTGAATCGATTATAACTTTCACAGTAGTTCACAGCAGTTCTTGTCGATAGTTAAAAATACGCGAAAATAACTGAGCGTACTCGCTGAGAAAAACTGAAAGCCGTTTAAGTGTAATTTGAAAAGAAAAGGGCGGGAAAAACATTACGTGCTCTATTTCTAACAGAAAGCATAACTTATTTACACGATTATCTAGTGAAGTCGTGTAAATGATGAAAGAGAATTTGTCGTTCTTAAATACAGTGGTTTTTAACTAAGTCATCAAGAAATTTTTGGAATTCCTTAGCAAATTTTACTTCTAGTGGTAAAACTATTCGTACAAATATAAACATTGTAATAATTGTGATTATTTTAATGCCTAAATCTACATGAACATAAATAAAGATTACATGAAACAAAATCATTCGGTATAATTTAATTAAAACGTTAATTTTTTAATTGACTTTTTGTTAAGAAAGTAATTAAATTTATTATCTCGAGTGATGAAGAAACAAATTAAATTTGAAATGGACATTTTGAAACGGTCTTGGAGCTTAAGCTATAGTTTATACAGTATTGTGAAGTTGGAACCCCCAAATGCGAATTTTTCAACTAACTTGGCATAGCTTGTTTGCCCAAGTTGAGACCAGGATAGCCCAACATTTTTTTTCGTTAGTTCAATTTTAAGTCAAAATTTACAACAAAAAGATTTTTTTCAAGTTGAGAACCACTCAAAATAAAAATTTGTTAAATTCGATGTTTTTATAACCTTAGTTTTACTGTATTAGAATTGGCAAAATTATTAGTGTACCACTTTTATTACTCGTATATAAAACCAAAGTTTAATAATATTTTGATTTTATACATATACGCCATTCAAACAGAATATTTTTATTCTGATATAAAAAGTTCTATTACCACTTATTTTGATACTTCAGAATGCAAACTTAATAATCCTTACAACTTTCTACTCATAAAAGTTGGGCTACCATTGGGAAAACGAAAGGCAGTTTTAAAACAAAGATTTTCACTTATTAGTTTTGGTAGTTTATTTTTTAAAACTATTAATAACTTTTTAACCAGTGGTGGGCTAATTAAAAAAAAACCTGGGATAACCTAGGCTAACCTTTGGCAAGCTAATAACCCTATAAAATCATCGAATTTTACCATTTTTTATTTTCAGTGGTTCTCAACCCGAAAAAGAATTTTTTGTAATAAATTTTGACCTGGCTAACGAAAAAAAATGTTGAACTATCCTGGACTTAACTTGGGCAAACGAGCCATGTCAAATTCAGTGAAAAATTCTCATTTGGAGGTTCCAACTTCACCAAGTTGTAAACAATTTTCCCATAATTTTCTTATTTGCGATATTATTTTCCTCGTTGTATTACATACTTTATTAGATATACCTGCAGATATATCTAAATTAATTTAAGTCTTGACCCGTTACGTCTTACGACTTCATCAACATGAAAGCTCGCAGCAGATGACGGTTCACGATTCCAAACTGTCCAAACTACACGAAGAATCGTCTTGCAGACAAATTTCCAACTGTACTTGAATAAATTGTTACGGTTCACGGCCTACTTAAACCTGAATCGCCGTCATTAACTTCAAGAAAAAGTACCAAAATAATAAGATAACCAACGAAACAAGTTTTAATGAAAAACAGACCACCTCAAAATGATTAAAAGCGTGTTGAGGTATAGTGTTATTGATTTAAAGATCGTGGGAGTAATTATTAATAAATGTGAATCTAATAAGTGTACTCCTGCTTGTGAAAAACAATATTAAACATATATTTGTAAACATAACAAAAATTAACTTGTTACTTTGAAAACGCAGCGACATGCAACATTTATTACGAGTAATATCGACTATACGTTGGAACATAACTTTAAAATTTGCTTAATACGTCGTTATTAATTAGCAAAATTGGGTGTTATTTAGATTTAAAAGCATTATAATAGTCCTAGCTTTGTGTTGGAATCAAAATTTTTTTTTATATGCAGCCGCCAGGCGAGATATTTAGCAATATCTTCGGAGACTTCAACGTTGCGTCAAGACACGAACCTTATTATACCTATAGCAGGGCCGACGCGTTCGCATGGTATTCACCGCTTCTTGAGCACTTTTTTAGCTTGTATGTCTTCAAATTAGCTTCCATAACGTTCACTAACACCACATTTAACAATAGAAATTATTGTCTCTTTCAAAACACAAAAAATACAATAAATTCGCGATCACGTAAAAGCACGTTTGCCGAGTAGTTCTCTGTACCTGGCAGTGTGGCATTAGTAAGTGACTTAAGTTGATTACCGTGCTGGCAGAAACACGAACCAGTCCCACCGTATTACCAACCTGTTCGAATGAAAATTTCCTGTAAACCATGAAAGTATTATAATAGGTAGTTATACGGTTGGAGAGGATGAACTGTTATAACTGGTACATATATTGCCATATGCTGTAACAATTCGATCAAAATCTACATAAGTAGGACAAAATAAACAAAATACTTTACAATCAAACTATTAATTAATACTTTCTTTGTCGAATTCCAGCACGAAAGGGATTCAAAGTTTGTGTCCAATATTGCCTACCAATGCGATCTAGGTACATACAAATTTAACATTTACTGAAAGTTGTTATGTAAATAATAATAGTAGTTACGCGTTCTAGTATCGAAATTGTAAGTGATATATTTATATACCTACCTATAGCATTTATTGGTGTATTGTAAATTTAAATTACTTGAAAGCTGAAGGAAACTATTAAGTTCTAAGATCAATTTAAATAAATCACTTTCTCTAATGTAAGATAATATGAAAATTGCTAACTTCCCCATGTTACTAATGTAATAATAATAATCTGTTGTGGATACTTAATTTGCTTCATATGTAATTAGCATAGTTTGTTAATGCAAAAAAACAATTTCGAAAATATACCAAAGATACTTTACTTTAAATTTTTTTTAAATTCTTTGAAAGTTACATTTAATTTGTCTGATTAACTTTAGCGAATTGATTGTAACAATAAATAATTTTTTGGTTTCTCATTGAAGCCGTAAGGAATCTTTTATCCTGACAAATTAGAGCATTATAAAGTTGCTTTTTTTGTGGTTAATTTTGCATGGTTGAGGTTGCACACCTTCTTTCCGACTTAAGTATAGTTCGTAGTGCTCAAAACTGCTTTCCTCTGTGCAGTATCTGGTTGGACACAGGCCAAGTTAATCGCTAAGCTTTTATTCAGTTTGGTGAATAAACCTCGGTAACCTTGGTACAACGTGGCACACCTGAATTAAGCGTTTTATTGCACTTTGTTTTTTCATTTGTTTTGGTTATGTTGACATAGTTTGTGAAATATTAAAATTTGAAAAGTAGGCGGTTTTTCTTAACATTTTAAGGATGGCTGCAGAATACGTTCTGGAATTAAAGAACATATTTTATACTGGACAGGTATCTATTAAATTTAAAGTTACTTTAACAACTCCCTAACATTTGTTTTCTGAGACTAACTTTATGTTTATTTGTTTACGTGTTCATCTGTTTAACACTTTTATTTGTTACAAACTTTGCAAAACATAATTTGGAATTTCTCAAAAGTTTATTCGACGCATTGAAGTAGAAAAGTATTAATATTTATTAATAAAAATTCAAAATAAAGAAGCTGCACCAATTAAAAAGTGTTTTTGTTCAAAAACATTCGAATTTTTAGGTTGAACCGGGAACATGTTTCCAAAGGATAATGGGAAGCCTTAAAACAGGGGTAATTTTAAAAGATGTGTCGTTAACAGTCCAGTCAGGAGAAGTATTGGCTATTTTAGGTTCAAAAGGTATTTAGTATTGTTTACATCATAAACCATTTGAATTTCACACATTCACTCACGCATCTTACAAAATAATTTATTCATAATAAGTAATCGTCATTGAATCCTTGAAAAAGTTATTTAATGTAAATTTAATAAGAAAAAAAATTAAAATTAAATATTGAGATCTATCTTACTAATTCTATGAAAATATTAAAACTATTATATTGTTGATTCACAATTAATTGTTTACGAAGAAGTAAAAAATAAAAACAATAGCAACAGCACCTCATAGGTAAAAGCCATAAAGTACTTCACAAGGGAAATATATAATATCTTAAAAACACATCTTAAAAACACAAGTCGTGTGTAAAAAATAATTTATTTAAGTTTAAGCCCAAGTTACACGCTTAAAATTCATAATGGATGTTTAAAAATAATTTCCAAATTTCAACAGACAAATTTTAGGTATTGACCAAAATGATATAGTAGGTACGGTTCTGTCTTCATTGTTCTTTAACTTTTTTGAGATACCTTCACAGCAGGTAATTTGATTGACAAAAGAACTTTTCCTGACAAATTTCAGGTCCGTATTGTTATTTACATTTTTCAGTTTCATTATTGGAATTAAGAAATAATTTCTTTCAAACATTAATTCTACCTAAGACAGACCATAACGATCGCTGTTGAGGTACAAACACCACCCAAATTACTTTATTACTTAGAACATCAGGGGGTATTGTAAACCACTCAGGAAGTCAAAGCCTATATCATTTGGTCAACTGTACTTGACAATTTCGCCAAACTTTGACGCCTTCAGAAGTTTATAACTCAAGTTAACTTAAGCCAATATTTGGCGAATTTGAAATGTGTTGAAATTTACAAAGTAGGGTTTTATTTTATTATTAAATTCAAATAATTTAGATACGCATCAATTTGTGGACATTTTGGGTAGCAGTATCTCATTCAGAGTATACAATATAATTGGTTGTGTTTACCGTAACTGACATAGGCATATCCGTTTTTGGCGTAGGTATGAATTTTTTCTAAAAGCATTATTGTAGGAAGCGGCAAAAAGGCACTACTCGACGTGATATCCCGTCGCATACAAGGCCCCATAAGAGGACAAATTTTACTTAACAACCAGCCGATGAGTTTGTCGGTATTCCAGCAAAGATGTGGATACGTAACTCACAAGTGCGATTTCATACCTGGCTTAACAGTAGAAGAAACGTTGTATTACATTCCAACGAAGGTCTGTACCAACATATTTATTTGTGTCGCTTGTAAGTTGCTTATTCGGTTTTGGTCTTCGTCTCGCTGATATAGTCTCAATCTTGTTCTTGATCTTGAACACATACTTCGAGGGCATTCTTGTAGATAAAAGATCTAGAAGAAAGATCAAATAGTGGTAAAGCTTCTTTTTTAATATTTGGTCTTGGTTTTGTGCTTTCGGTCTTGGTATTAGTCTTCGTCTTGTTTGTTCGGTGTTAGTCTTGATCTTGCTTGCACAAGACCGAAACGAAGACTGCAAGACCAAAACCAATTTTACTCATCACTACTTGAAATACCCCCCTAAGTACTTATTTACACATGCTTGGATCGGCGAATAAGTTGCAAAGTATGGATAGCAGGTAATTATAAATAGTGCAGCTAATAATTAATTCTTATGTGAGATTCAGGGCCGTATTTAAAAAAAATTTCGTCCAGGACAAAGTTCGATTCTACTCCCCCTCACCCCCTTTATCTCCAGAAAGCAAAATATATAAAATTAAAAATGAAAAATCATTCTAATTCTGTCCTTCGAAATAGGTCATTTGAGATTATTACAGAAATGAACAGAGCAATATTTGAATCAAAGTGATTTTTCTTCTTTAGAGTATGGACTATTTACTTTATTCAAATAGTTTTCTTATTGATGGCAGGAACGTATTTTTACTTTTACAACGGTTAAAGTATTTTTCAAAATGCGCCTAACGTATTTAAAATTTGAAAGGAAATATTATTTATGAAAAAGCACGAAACTGGTCATTTACAACAAGCAATTTGTAAAAAAATTATAGAAAATACGTAATGATGGCTTAAATTAAGAATCATTATATCCCAAATTATAAACAATCGGTCTTTAAATGTATGCAATCTGGGTGATACCCAAGTTGTTAATATTTTGGAAAAATCTGTTTCAATATTACAAATCCTTTCGGCGCCTCGTGACCGTGACGTCTTCTTCTCCCCATAGCACGGCCCTGGCGATAGTTGAGAAATTACGCAAAACATGTGCGAGATTCCGCAATGCTGAAACAGACCCATAGTTGCGGTATTTATATACTCATTTCACGTATTGCTACTAATTGATTCAAAGTTATTATTTGATGTAGAGTTACCGCTAGATCACTCATAATTATTCGAGTTAAACAACAAGCCAAAGAAGTAAAAGCACTTTTACAAGAACCTGACAAAACTGTCTAAAAACACTCCCTATAATGTAGATAAAATGTCACGAATTTCGCACTTAAATCCATTAATTGCTAACTGTTAAACAACTTGATAACTATTTTCATTTCATTCATCATGAAATGCGACAACGTCACAGACAAAACCGAGACTGAACTGTATTGATGTGTAAAATAAGGACCAAAAATAATAAAGAATAAAAGGCCATAATGTCCTTATTGTTTCAAAACAATATCTTTATATTTTAATTGATAGTATCCTTCTCTAAAACAAACCCAAATTTTAGACTAGTGCATACAATAAAAAATCGAGAGTAAAACAAGTAATGGCTGATTTAGCTTTATCTCAAACTGCTAATCGTTGTGTGGAAAACTTATCAAAGAGCGAATATAGACGGTTAACTATTGGTGTCCAACTTATAAAAGAACCGAGTAAGTTATTTTAAATTTCACGCCTTATTTTTAGGATATACCGCGTACAATTACGAAATTAAATTCCTTTTAGTAATCCTTCTTCTTGATGAACCAACATGGGATTTGGATCCTTTGAACACATACCTTGTTATATCAATCCTGTCGAACGTATCAAAGAAGTACGGAACTGCCGTCATACTGACGATGGAAAAACCGCGATCGGACGTGTTTCCGTTTTTAGAAAAAGTCTTGTATCTTTGTCTAGGAGATATAGTTTATGCTGGCGGAACGCGACAAATGTTGGATTACTTCAACGCCATTGGTTTCCCGTGTCCTCATCTTGAAAACCCTTTAATGTATTATTGTACGATTTGTTCAGAATTTCAATTCTATAACAACGATTCAAAAAAACTTTTTCCGTAGTGTGTTTATCCACTGTCGATAGAAGGTCTAGGGAGCGATTTATTGAAAGTAATTATCAAATAGCTGCTCTCGTAGAAAAGTTTAAGATAGAAGGTCCTGCTTTTCAAAAGGAATCGATACCAGAGGGAAATCATAATGATGTAATTAGTCATAATAGCAAAATACCTCTCCTACAGGAGCGAGTTTCTGTTTTCAAAACAGCTTGGGTTTTATACACGTATGTAAATATTTGAATTATTTTTAATAACAATGAACTAAACGGGTCCCTAGGGAGTACTTCAAATTTTTACTGATTATAAAAAAATCTGAACTTCTATTTACTTGGTTTTTTGTGTACTTAAAGTAATTTGATCAAAATTTAATTTACGGTGAAATAAAAGTTGATTTTATATNATATAAAAGATTTCCATATAACCCTATCACGTTTTTTTTTTCAAGAAAAACTTGCTCTAAAGAAACATTATTTTAATTCGGGTCCATTTTTGACCAAGCAGTGCCTAGATACCAAAGTACTTTTCGATTCCTGGATTTGAAAACTTTACATACGGTACCATTTCAGTTTCATTTCGTATTTAGGCCAAAACAAGACGAATCCAATTAAAAAAAAATTATGCGGGAAGGTCTTTACCATTTAAAAATATAAAAACATTATCGTCTTGGAACGCTAGTGCATACGAAATAAAATTCCGATAGTAATACATGTTTGGAATAATTATTAATTAATAAATTCGATTTGTAAGTATGTCTGTTATTACGGTTTATCATAAAACAATAAATAAAAGTTGTGAAAAAATAAAGTTTAATTACTTAAAGTTATATCCAGTACAAAAATCTTAGAACAAATGCAAAAACTTAAAGATAAGTACACAAAACATTCGTTATAAGTAAATTCCTCATAAATTTACTTGCCCCATTCGAGGAACATTATCAGGGATTGCAAATTTACACCCTGTTGATGCAACAACGTCTTCTACTTGAAAACCATCGCCTAATTCCACTAATGTAAGTCCTTTTTCTTTATCCACTTCAAAGACAGCCTTTCCAAGAAAAGTAATAGATATTAAGATAAAACAAAATCGATAACGAATTTATAAGTAGGTACCTTTTCAGTAATGATCATATCTACACATTTTTCTCCCGTGAGGGGTAGTGTACAATTTTCCACAATTTTTGCGCTGCCATTCTTTACACCCTCTCTTAATATTTGGACTTTATTAAATTTTAGGAGATTATTGATGGCGACTTTCAGTTTTCGTTTAGCAGGATTAAAACAGATATTTTTAAGGCTCATATTCGTACCACTATATTTCTTACTATTGTGGGCATTTTACAAAGACATGTCTGTAAGTTTAAACAAAGAAAAAACATAAACTACCAGAAATATTACTTATTAACTTTACAGAATTATCAACATACTTTTGTAACTAGAAGCGGCTTTATATTGAACTCTTTGGCAGTATCATGCTTTCTAGGAATTGTTAACACTGTCATTATTTGTAAGTATACCTCTGCTACTTTATTTGAACAACAAAAACGCGTTGTATGCCATCAGTGTATACAATAATCTATCGATATATTCAATAGTTCCAGTATATCGGACAAGGTACTATCAGGAAACACAAGAAGGACTCTACGGTGGTTGTATATTTCTGATTACGTACAACTTCCTCTCGATACCATTTTCATTTTTCTCTTTAATAGCGGCAAGTGCAATTATATATCCGTAAGTAGTTTTCTACAATACACTGGCAAAAAATTTCATTAATTATTTTAAACGAAATGCAACATTAAAACTGTATATATATATACGTATATTTTTAATTTCTTCCAGTTTAATTGGATCATTTAACGAGCCAATGGAATTTATATATTTTAGCCTTATTCTTTGGGCATGTTATATTTTTGCCGAACAACAAACAATATCAATTTTAATGATAGTAAAAGACTATTTAACAGGAGCTATTTGCAGTACCTATATTACATGCGTTTGTCTCGCCCTTAGTAGTGGAATTCTGAGGTAAATAACAATAAAATTAGTAGAAAATAGACATTTAAAACTTAAGATAGTTGCGCACTAAGCGGTTAAGAGATGCGGTCATCATCTACCACATAATATTGAACCGCATTTCTTTGGAGCATGCGCATTAAACAGCGGAGTATCATTAGTAGGAATAACGTGTGACCTCCGTGAGGTTCTTATATAATTTTCATAAATGTTAATCTTTGTATTGATTAATATTTCATAATACAAATCACGACAAATTGAAAATGTTTATCTATTAAGCATAACATGAATTAAACAGTGGCCTCTAGAGGTAAAGACGCTAAGTGTGGAACTAGCTTTATAATTCTTCTGTTGGTTAGCAAAATTACTATATTGATAAATTGTAGGTCAATAAAAGGGCTCCAAGACTGGTTATATTACCTAACTTATGCAACTCAGTTGAGATACGCTGCCGCTTACTTGAACAGACAAATATTTTTGCATACAGATCTTCACAATCCATTGCCGTTTGATTACAGTCACAACTGTTCAAAAACGACAATGATAGAGACTTCAAATTTCAACGGCCCTACAAATATGTATTGTAGGTACGCTAATGGACAATCGTTTCTTACAGAAAGGTACACCAGGGAAAACACTGACGTAATTTTTAGCGGTATTTTGGAGTCTGATTTTAATTTAAGCATTACATTCGCTTTTGCACTCGGAATAATTGTTTTTAATCTGTTTTTATATATGATTCCTTTACCTGCTTTTCTTAAAGCGAAATTCAGAGATTAAGGATAATGGTAATAATCGTCCCTAAATTATTTATACAATTACACTTAATAATATTGTTTATGAACATTGATGAACGGTGTGCATATTTTGCATCAATACTCAAAAATTTTAATCATAACTGTCGGTACCCTTTTGGAGTACTTATTGAGGGTATACAATTGAGGATTTGTAATGGAGTGAATTGTACCTTTTTTGGATCCACTGCAATTTGAAAAATTGGGCATGAAAATATTTATTTAAAAAATTTGGTGATTAAAATATGTCTTAAGAAGAAGTGAAAACATCTGATGGGCACAGGCAATATTTATACAGAAAGTACAGAGTTTTCCTTATTTTAGTTAGTTTTAACTAGATATTTTTTTTATACAAATATTTGTATCTATTTATAACTTAAATAACCCAAATT